GAGCTGGTACTCCTTGCCTCCTTTTTGTCCCTTCATGTGGTGATGTAGTATAGAGCATGAAAGTTGCATATCATGATAGGTATTTAGTGGCAGCAAGTTTGAGTCATTTGGTCATGTAATGCTATTTTCCAGTTTTTCTTTTACAATCATTTTCCCTTAGAAATACAGAAATATGTTTTCTGAAATGATGATGGTTTTTAGCAATTGCTGCCTCCATTTATGACGCAGCACCAAACGTGGTGGTTAAGAAAATCAGGATGTAGGTTAATTTAAGAGTAGTATGCAGCTAACTAAAAGAATCTATAGGAAAGCAAGTTTAGAAATCGCAGGAAAACAGAGATAAGGGTAGGAAAAGAAGAAGAAAACCTAAGAATCACTCTTAGGGCCCTTTGGCATCACACCGCAGGATTCCTAGGCGTCACACCAAGGGTTTAGTTGAGTCACACAACTGTTGTTGAAAGCAAAAGCTCGCAGGAATTTTATTAATCTGATAACTGTCCAAAACCCTCAAACGAGGTACATATATATAGGCCTAAAACTTAACCTAAACCAAAGACAACTAGGATTCTCACCTAATTTCCTTTTTATTCCAAGAAAATCCTGCAGCATAACTAATATACTAAAATACCCTTTCCATATTAATACTGAAATAAACTAATTAAATTACTGCCTAATAAAGGATTAACTAAACCAAAGTCCTAACACTTTGGCTCCTTCCTTGGATCATGATAATCCTGGGCATAAATATGGAAGAACCTACTGATAGGGTTCTTCTACCATTCCTTGTCCCCATCAATTTACCTTTGCATTTAAACTTGCTTTCCTGTTTTTGTTCATCTTATGCTGGAAATTCCTTTTTTTCCTCTCCTATTTGAATAGTATTACTATTGGTTGAAAGTGCTAGTTTTAGAATGGTAGCTGACGAGACTGTTTAACGTCTCTGTTTGTATAAGAAAATAAAAAAGCATGTCTGCTGTAATGTTGCAACTTACTTCTCTTTTGTTAATTTAATCATGGTTCCTTTTCCCTTCTGTCTATTCATCTCTTTCGACTGCATGATGTGTTATTTACATCTATATTTTACTGGTATTGTTTTGCCTGTAGAAGTACCATCACAGGCACAAATATGATTGCTGGTTAGTTGTACCTGATTGTAATGTGGTCTTTGCAATGTTTATACTGAAGTAATTATTCTCTCATGATTTCATGCATTTTCTAAAGTTTGTGCAATCTACCTGTAGGTTCATTTGATTGAAGGAATAATTGATCAAGTTGATGGAACAATCCATGTCTCTTGGGTTCAACCAAGAGTATTGGGTATATCCCAGATCAAATCCTTACGCGATCGGCTAGATAACTGGGTGGAAAAAGTACACACTACTTTGGTGTCTGTCGAGGCAGAGACACCTGATTTAGTTGTATCCTGAATTTCCTTATTTAGTGACATTATGTGACTGATATTTTAGTAATGTAGCGCCCGCCGGAACTGAGATAATGTTCCAGCGATACTGCAGAAGATGGTTATTTAGTCACTACTTCACGTGTCATTTTGTTTTGTAATTCTCTCTTATGTTTTGAGGTTTTCTATTAGGTTGTGCTTGATGTAATTTTCTAGACTTCGGCAGATCAGCAAGTTTACGGGATAAATGTTACAAATATTTTCGAGATTATTGTAGATCTGAGAAAATATAATTGAATCTTCTGCATGCAGTCGCTAGATTCGATCCACTTCGACATGGCTAAATCAGTTCTTAGGCACTTTTTGATGAAGTATCGTTTGAACTTGTTAATCACTTTTTCATTAACCATCGTTAGAGCTTGTACTCAGCTGAGACATCTGATCTTGGGGGAGGCTCTGGCCATATATGAACTTGATCGCGTTTGACAGCGTTGGAGTTCTTTGAACCATGATTAATGCACCGATAAGTTGTGTTAATCCAAACTCCTTGGGTTAACTTGCCTCCCCAACTCTTCACACCTAACCTTCTCGATTGCTCTCCTCTGCTCCTCCTTCAATCCATCATGGTCATAATATTCCCAAAAACAACGTCCTAGTGCAGGGATCATACCATAAATGATTTGACATAATGATTGGTTATCATAAATGCTTCCAAACGAAGCCTCCCGCGGAGGAAGTAGTTCATTGATTTCGTACAAATTATGGCATTAGATTATGGAGTTGCACCCAGAGATTATTTTTTGTTGTGTTTCCCTTTAGTGTTTTCGTATTCTGTTTTAGGTGATGCCCACAGGGTTTTCATGTCCATACAGCGAATTTTTGAAGTTCATTTTTATGCGTATCAAAACTGAATGTTTCTGGATGGGGTTGGAGGGGGGGCGGTACAGTAAAAGAAAACACCAAAATAAGGAAAAGAAAAAATGGGTAATGAATAAAATGTCGTGACCTCTTCTCAATCAGAAGCTAAGAATTTTGTTATTCATCACCGATATCATACTCCAATCATATACGCTTTCTTGCTTTTTGAAAGGGTCCATATATACAGTATAGCCAAACAGAAGCGTTTTTGATACATTCTCAAAGTTTAAGGGTATTTTAGATATTTGATTAAGCTTTGGCGGAGCCCTAAAAGTAAAAGAGCCCATAGAAGAGTATAGAAAATAGAATACAAAGATAGATACTTATTTCTTGTTGCCAGTTAGCTACAGAGAAGATCAACAAACAATGAACGATTCTCTTTCTCGTTGCAACAACAACCATGAGGTTTTCCACAAACAAAAGGTTCTTTTTTGGCTTAATTTCTGCATTAGATATAGCTTCTCTTTTATTTCTGCGATTGGATTGCTGGTTGTTTGGGAGCTGTTGGTATACTTTTTGATACTTTTACCTGCATACTTGATTTAGGCTAGGGTTACGCTGTTATCTTAACATGTTTGTTTTAGCTACATTTAATATTATGATGAAACCTGCCGGGGGGGATTGAACTTAATTAAAAGTGTGTTTTTTTTTTTTACCAATTTTATTTTAGTTTTTGAATTCAAGGTGCGAAAGATGTTCCCTTTACTTGAAATCACGTTCTACTGCAGCTATTTTTTCTATTGTTTTAATTTTACTCTTCCCTTTTCTCCCTGTGTTTCAATATGGACGTGAAGCGGCGAAAGATCACGGGTAGTTGGGAATCCGGGATCGATAAGTTGCCTGATGAGATCCTAGGTATTATTCTTTCCGGTTTGTCTCTTAAGGAAGCAATGAGGACCAGTGCCCTTTCTCAGAGGTGGAGACACTTGTGGAGGATTAGCTCAGGCAGTTTCGATTTCGACTTGGACTGCCTTCCAAAATCTTCAAGAGCTAAATACAATAATGGTGGTCATCATCATGATTTTTGGTCTTTAGTGAATCAAATCCTTGAACTACACCAAGCACGAGCCGTTGATAAGTTTATCGTTCGTTGCTTGGAACTTCCACGTCGTTCGTGTCCTTCTTCTAAATGCATTGCAGATTGGACCAAATTTGCGATCCGAAAAGATGTCCGAGTCATTGAGTGGAATCTGAACGATGAACATTGACGATGCACGGATATGCGCCGCCGGTTTAACGGTGGAACTCCGGCTAGGGTTTCCTACAAAACAGAGCCTCGGGGTATCCCGAGGGTAGACACTCTGATGCTTAAGTCAGTAAACGGGATTGTTCAAAAGTTTAGGGAAGTAGTATGTTTGGCTTATAGATTGCGTACCTGAATTGTGGTATGAGCTATCCTATTTATAGGTGTGAGATTACCTTGACAATTCCAAATCCAACTAGGTTTTAGGGATTTACACTGTCCTAAGAGTTCCAGTTGGACTCTTCTTGCGGTGAGTGGGCCGGTACAATCTCGGTCATGGATCTGGACTCGTCAAGTGCCCCTGCCAAGTGTTAGTGATGTAGAACAAAGCAACGCTTGGCATAAAATGAGCATTACCTGAGACATGCCCGAGAGTGGATAGATCGCCCTCGTTCAGCTAATTGTCGAGGCATATGCCTAACAAGCTAGGTGCTGACACGCCACCCTCGACCTTGGAGGATCGAGAGGAACCGGCGGGTCGGGTCGCGACTCGGGAAGGCGACCCGCTTCCCCAATCCCGCTCAAATTTTCAATTGTGCGTTATTAGCGGGCATGTTCCCCAAACGGTGGCCTCAACATCATTACTCCCTTGAAACCCGCCATAACTGCCAAATCGTGGCCCATAATTAAGGATACGTGGGAGAATCAACTTTGCGTTTAAAAGAGAAAAAACTTCTACTATTCCTGGACACTTAATCAGTTCTTTTCTCTGCAAAAAGCACAAAAATCTTCTCCTTTGCAAAAAGCATTCCAGCCCCCATTCCGCTCTTCCTTTCCAGAGCATCCGAAGTCCTTTCCCGGCCAGAATTTCAACAATTTTACCTGATATACTGCCCCGATGACGCTGTTTCCAGGGGAGCTCCAAATTGAGGCTTCTAGACAACACTGGGGAGTTATAATTCGAAGGGTGAGTGGTCACGTCCCCTTTACACAGTAAGTTTCTAGATCTGAATCTCCGATCCATTCTGTTTCCTTTTCTACTGTAACTAGAGTAGATCTTTAGCAGAATTATGGTTAGGGATTCCGAAGGAAAAACTGTTCTAGACTTTGTTTCCACCATAGACTCGGTGGATAAGGTAGAAAATCTCAGATCCAAGTATGACTTCCCCTCCGCCTTAGAGGCGAGAGCTCCGCTAGGAAACGAGAGGGCCAACTCTCCTCCAAGGGGAAGAATTACTGTGTATGATCGATTCATGCATCTAGGGCTTAGATTCTCTTTATCCCCTGTTTGAGGAGATTGTTCAACATTACAGGACTCCTCTCGCTCGTTTTACCCCAAATTTAATTACATTTGTACTGGGGTTTGCGAGAGTGTGCCAATATGTAAAAGTAGTACCTCGATTGATATTATGGAGGTACTTTTTCCAAGTAGTTGTGGCCTCGACTTCTTTCCAAGATTGGTATATAGTTAAAAGACGTCTTAGAGCCGGCGTGAAGAAGATGGTCGAGGCGTACGGCGGTTCTCCGGAATGGAAATCGGATTTTGTGTTTGTAAAGGCGCCTGCAAGTTATTGTCTGCCATGGAATCTCTGTGAGACAGAAGGCCTTGGGGCCATAAAAGATGAATGGACCCAAGAGGATGAAGAGTGTGTCGAGGAGTTCCAGGCAGATGTTAAGAAAGTTCTGAAATACTCACACGTCGTTAAGTGGAACGACGTCCAATACTATGTGCCCCCTGCATATGTGAAGGAAGGTGATACGGTCATCGTCAAGGGAGCAACCAGAATTCCCCTCGAAATCTCTGATCAAGGTACTAATCGTTTTCTTTTTTTTTTTTTCTTTGTTGTTAGGTCATGTCGTCGAGCAATGCTGGGTCTCGATTGTTTGGCGACGAAGATCCTTTTGTCATTGTGAATTCAGATGAGGACATTACTGTTACTGCCGCCCCTCAGAAGAAGAAGAAGAAAAGGATCGTGAAGGTGGGTGATAGGACAAAATCCAAGAAGGCCAAGACGGATGTGCCCCCGAAGGAAACTGCCCAACCGAGCGTCGAGACGGTGCCTGTTGCCACTGAGTCCGTGCAGAAAACTGTGCCAGAGACAGGGCCAAGCATAGTTCCTTCTGGGGTAGGGAAAGGAAAGGGCTCTCTCGAGGGAGAGGCCGTAGTCTTGCCTCCCCAACTGTTCGAGGGAGGTCCGACTGTGGCAGTTCATACCTTCAGCAACCCGCCTTCAATCGAGTGTCCTATTCTCGAGGAATTCGCTGCCCAACTGAATGAAGCTGACAGCTTGCGGCTGGTAAGCAATTTTTTTTCAAATTATGTCGTAAATGCACCGCGGATGTCCATGTGTCTCTAATTTGTTGTGTTGGTTCAGATGAGTGCAGCCTCGATGGCCTACTTAGTGCAGCTGAGGAAACTTCGAGAGGACCTGGCAGCAGCAAGGGCAGAAAGGGACGAGGCGTTGTTCGAGGTGGTTACCCTTGAGGAGAAGGTTCGCCAAGTTCAGGCCAAGGAAGCAGAAATTGTCGAGGTGCACGCCAAATATGACGAGCTCGACGAGAAGATGAAGTCGTTTGCCGGCCTGCATATCTCCAAGGAGGAGCTCCACCAGTGGTGTACCGCCTTTATGTATAGAATGATGTCCACGGGCGGAATGGCGGCAGCTCTCGAGGAGGTGAACTTGGTTGCCACCAAGTGTGGTGCGCACCGAGTGGGCGTGGCAGGGTTGAGGAGGCTTGACCAGGATAGGCCAATTAAGGCTACATGGTTTAAGCAACTCTTGATGAAGGACCCAAAGAAAACCATGCACAAGGCCATGGTGAAGGTCTTGACGAGGTTGAGCCTTGAGCAGCTCCCTCTGTGGGGAGCTTTGACCGGTGCTATGCCCAAGATGAGTTCACCTGCGGAGATTGCCTCGTTTACAGGCGACGTCCCTGCTGTCCTGGCCAAGGGTCCGAGTGAGGAAGACCCCATCCTCGAGGTTCCTGACGAGTATATGGGCATCGAGCTCGAGGATGCTGATGAGGAAACCGAGGAGGATGTTGCTGATACCGGTCACTCAGGAGTTCAGAGAACCGCTGAGGATGCCTCTCAGGTCCCTTCCAAGGACCCTTCCAATGATCCTTCCAATGATCCTCACCCAGGCAGTGATGCTGTATGAATCCTGCCTTCTGTAATAGTTTTTAGGCCATTCAAACTTTTTTCTTTCTGCTGTAATGAATTAATTTTTCTGTTCTTGCACAGATTTATGCAAACGTCACTTTTCATTCCAGTTTTTTATCCTCTGTGTTCTTTCTATTTGGTTTGATGTGAGTGCCTTATGCTCCTCTGGTGAAACAGGAAAGTTGGACCGTTCACCGTGTGCACCACATGGTGTTATCAGAGGAGCAATCGAGGGAGTTTCCATTATATTCCATGATAAGTGGGATTCTGAGAAGTCGTGCTGATGTGCACAGCCTCGAGACGGTGGCGCATTTGGAGAATGACCAGCTCGATGCCATGAGGACGCATAACGTGAAGGTTAACCAGCATCTAACAAACGAGATCAAAGGACTCCGTGAGGAGATGCAGCGTCTAGGGGTTCAAAGACTGAGAGACCACAGTGATTCTTTGACTTTCGAGGCCGAGATTCATGACGAGCTGGTAACCATGGAGAAGGAAAATGCTCGGCTTAGGGCAAGACAGCAGATTACTGTGTCTCCCTGGTTTCTCGAGAAGCATCAGGTGTTAGCTCGAGTCCAGCACATGATTATGGTCAGGACTCGCCATTTTATTGCAGCCATGGATATATTGAAAGAGAGGTCTCGTGAAATCGAGCTTCTTACAAATTATATTGCTCAACTCCAAAATCTTCTGCTGGATAACAACATCGACTTCGAGGCTTTCGAGCATCCGGAGAAGACAGTAGATCCTCGAACTCGGAGTTCTCGAGAGGAATTGTTGATGAGGGTGCACGCTCAGGATACATAGATCGTGGACCTTAAGGACAAATTAAATCAGTGTGTGAATCTCCTTAGCCTGCATGGGTATAAGGGGATTATTCATCCCTCCCCCGACAATCCTGTCAGGGAGGTACTTGTAATAGTGTAGAAAATATGTACTTTTCTGTGAGTTCGCACAACAATGTGGAACGAATGTTTATTTTACTCGAGTATTGGTTTTTAAAGCGCTTTCTAGACCGGATTAGAGTACACGGCTCTATCATAGGAATTGGGTACGAATTCCTTTACTTGACACTGCGCAGGAGGAAAGTTCCTCAAGTTTGTGTCCGGATGTTGAGTACACAGCTCTTGATCGAGGATGTCCCTAAAGAGGGAGTCCATCTCGATGACTAGTCATAAATGCGTTGCTATAATTGGGGAGAATATGTAATGTCTTTTATTGAATAATTACCGAGGACCCGGGTTAGCATTATATATGAGAGTATAAGACTGACTGGGTAAAGTAAGTAAAACACATAAAGGGCAAATAGCGGACAAGAGATTAAATATAGAACCTGCAAAGATTTTGGATGTTCCACCATCGAGGAAGGATGGTTCCGCTATCACCCATGGCTTGTAGGCGGTAGCAGCCTGCTGGAGAAGTCTGGATAACCTTGTAAGGCCCTTCCCAATTTGCTTCCCAATTTGCAGTAAGTTTTCCAGGGGCTTCTGCTCGACTGGCCTCATTTTTTCTTAGTACGAGGTCATCCACAGCGAGATTCGTGGTTTTCACCTTCTTGTTGTAATGTCTGCGAAGAGTCTTTTTATATTTGGCCTCTCGGATTCTGGCGGCTTCTCGACGTTCCTCGAGCAGGTCAAGGTTTAGTCGGATGTCATCATCATTGGTACTCTCGACGAAGTTTGCGATTCGAGGACTCGACAGGCCGATCTCGACAAGGAGGAGAACGTCCATACCGTAGACTAAGCTGTATGGCGTCTCGTCGGTCGAGGAGTGGGCAGTTGTCCGGTATGCCCACAGGACGTGGGGGAGTTCGTCGGCCCATGCCCCTTTAGCGTCATACAACCTGTTCTTGATTCCATGCAGTATTGTTCTGTTGATGGATTCGGCCTGCCCGTTGGCTTGGGGACGGGCTACACTTGAGAAGCGGCGTTCGATATGCATTTCATTGCACCATGACCTAAAAGTATTGCTCTCGAATTGGGTCCAATTATCGGAGACGATAATCTTCGGGATCCCAAAGCGGCATACTATGTTCTGCCAGAAAAATTCAAGATTTTTCTCCCGGTGATCGATGCCAAGGGTTTGGTTTCTACCCATTTAGTGAAGTAATCTACTGCTACAATGACCCATCTTACTCCTCCTACTCCTTCCGGATGAAAAGGGCCGATGATATCAGTGCCCCATTGGTAGAATGGCCATGGGCTTTGGATGGTGACCATCTCGTGCTATGGCTGTCGGGTGATGGGGGAGAAGCGCTGACATTTCTCGCATTTTTGTACCCATTGGTAGGCGTCTTTAAATATTGTCGGCCAGAAATATCCTGCTCGCAAGGCTTTCTTGGCGAGTGCTCTTGCTCCCATAATAGCTCCACATGATCCTTCGTGTACTTCTTCGAGTACGTAAGCTGCTTGCTTTGGGCCAATACATCTTAGCATGGGTAGCAGGTATCCATGCTTGTATAGGATGCCGTCTCGCAATGTGTATTTGGCCGCTTTTAATCGGAGGATCCTGGCTTCTGCTTTTCCATTCGGCAACGTCCCATCTGTAAGGAATTGGATGAAAGGGGTCATCCAAGTGTCGCCGTCCTCGACGACGGTCGCTACGGGGATGTCTTGGATACTGGGATTGGGGAGAACTTCGACCCATGCTTTGTGGCTGAGGTGTGCAAAGTTCGAGAAGGCCAGCTTGCTGAGGGCGTCGGCTCTTTTGTTTTTCGAGCGGACTATGTGACATACTGTGCATTCCTCGAATTTGTCCTTGATGTCGAGGACCTTCTCGAGGTAGCGCTTGAGTTGCTCGTCGTTTGCCGTGTATTCTCCCGATATTTGTTTCACCACTACTTGAAAATCACTGAAAACCTGTATTTTGCGGACCCCAAGTTTTAGTGCCATGTTTAACCCTACTATCAGTGCCTCGTATTCTGCTACATTATTGGTGACCGAGAAATCGAACCTCAGCGCATATGTATATTCCGCGTCGTACTCTTTCATGTTCTCAATGTCGGGATCGGCCGGTCAAGGTCATATTTGATCTTTTGTGGCAAAGCAGCCTTTATGGTTGTGGTTCTGGCTCTCTGATTTGCTACTTTTCTGGTTCCACCCTGGTCAAGGTCATATTTGATCTTTTGTTTTTGTTTTTTTTTTCTGATTGGGTAATTGTTGCTAACGAAATTAACATGTTGGTTGGTTGCAATTTTGAGTGTCAAGATGGTATGCTACTATTAAGTGGTTTGCCTTTAATTTAGCTTTTTATCTTAGTCTAACAATGTTGATATTCCTTGTGTTTTTGACAGTTCTGCTACAGTTGGATAAGGGATAAGGTAGGAGATTCCGGGTGTCTTGATAATCACACTACTTTATACTCCCTCGATCTGTCTTAGAAAAGTAGTTCACGTACAAATTTCCAAACTGAACTCTGACTATTTTTATGGGATGGAATATTTATCTGTATTAAATGTTATGGCTGATTTTGATTTCTTCCTGTTCAGGATGCAAAAGCTGTTCTACGTAGTCATCAAAGCTTTGAGGCTCAAACACTTGTTAAATCTCACCGCCACAAACATCTTAAAGTGGTCAAGTTTATTGATATTGGTTTGCGTAGGACTGAGTTTATGTTCATATTGTTCTTGCTTCAAATTGCTCTGTCCATTGAGAAGATTGTCATCAACCGTGGCGGACTCAACAGATCCGCTATGGTTCGAGAGCGGCTTATACAGCTAAAAGCAGTTCTACCGAACAACATTCAACATGTCATCGAAAGAAGCAACTGAGGGTATTCCGAACGTTGAAGAAAGAAGATTTTGGTTTCCAAAAAGGATCAGGAATATCTTTCTATCACTAGCTGAGGGAATCAACAATGGTAACTCATTCGTTAATTTGTTCTCGGGCCAAACCGCCAAGGAGGACTTCTTCAAAATATAACTTTTAATTTCTTTCAAACTAAGTTGTAAATATATAGACAAATGTTATTGCATTACATGGGGTTTTCTCATCACTCAGCCTGTCTTTATTCTTCCAAATCAGTCCAGCTGGAAGAGTTTTTAGCCAAAAAATGTAAAAGATATCATCTGTCTTTATTCTCCTCCTATTTCTTCTTGTTTGCAGTCCCTTCTAATCTTGCTGTAATTATCATTATCACTCTTTTTTTTAGAGATAAAGAAAAAGAGTATTGTACGAGATCAATAAGAGTAAAAATTAGATTATTAAGTATATTCGATTATTAGTTTGGTAAAAGAAACAGTTTGGTAAAACAAACATTCTCAAATTAAGGTGAATTTTCTTTACAGAAATGAGAGCATTTAATATTGAATTAATTAATTTGAATATTTATGGTGATTGGGGTGATTTGATATTATTAATATGTTTCAAGATTATTAGCATAAATGTTGAAACTATTTTTTCTCAAAATTTTGAGGAATTGACATGTAGGATTTTTTTCTTATTTGGTACTTTAGAAATATGTTTTGTTTTCTCTCTATGATTTCTCTCTTAGTATAATATACTATAGATAGATTTCTGTTAGGCTTTAGCCTCCTCTTTTGTACCAAAAAAAAGAAGAAAGAAATAATACCCTAGATTTATCGTTGGCCATTTTAACGTAGTTGTTTAATTACCTCAATTTTTTTGCGCTCACTATATGCACACTTTTGTCGTGGGGCAAGAACAACTTAAAGTCTATTCTTTCTACAATAAAGACTCTCATTGCAGAAATCACCATAGTTTTTATTCATATTTTGAGAACAATGTGGAAATACCCCCAAATTGTGAGAATAAGAAGTCCTACCATTATGCAAGTCTTTTTTTGGTTCCGTAAGGTTTCAAAAGAAGAGAGTAATGACTATATATCTTACTATATTAGAAACAAAAACCACACTTAAGAGAAAGCACCACTATTTGCCATGTGGCATTTCCACATCATATTTTTAAAATAAATTTTTATTTCCACATCTCCTAAACTTAAAAGGCAAATGCAGTCCAAATTTATTTCCACCTCCTATTTTCGTCAAAACAAACAAAAAAAAAAACCACGGGTTCATAAAAAACTCAAACCCTCATCCCCATCGCCACGACAATCGACTCCTTAATCAATCCCTTCTCCACAATTAAAAAAAAAAAAATTCCTCATCAATCATCAATTGAGAATATGTGGTGAAATATACTCCTTTCCTATTAGCATGTTCAATCTTTTCATTAGTGATGATCAACTACATCCTAATCGGATAAAATTTTAACTTCAAAAAATATTCTCTTTACCTCTCTATATAAACACAAAGAAAAAAAAAATTCTCATTGATCTTGCTTCGGCCGTTGTGGTGGTGCCATTACAGGTATTAAAATTTAAATGATTTTATTTCCACAGATAATTGGTTTGGCTTTTATTATTTTTTATTTTTCTCGTTCAAGAATAGTGTTATTACTATTATTTTTATGCGTCCATCCGTTACAGCTACCGGAGCCGTTGTTAGGTAGTATGATGTGATTTCTTATTTGGTTAGTTAGTCTAGAATTTTTTGTATGATTTTAGTGATGTTTGGATTGAATTGATTGATTGGGTTTTTGTTACAAAGTGTGGTTTTTTAAATTTGTTTTTTATGTTTCATTCAATTGGAGCGGTTTTCTTTTTTTAATTATGGAGTCTCAGGTTTTTTTTTCGTATATGGCCAGTTATGAAGTGTGTTTTTTCTTTGTTTAACTGTTTTTGATTTTGTTTCATACTCCCAGTTGACCAATTATTATTATTATTATTATTATTATTATTATTATTATTATTATTATTATTATTATTATTATTATTATTATATTTGCAAA